GTTAGTGTAATTTATCCAAAATTAAAAATTAATTTGATGAAAGAAATTAAAAAAAATAAAAAATATTGATCATTTTTATATAATTTTACCTATTAATAAGTCAGAAATAATTTTTAAAAATTTATTTTTGATGTTTATTTATATCAAATTAGCTTTTATTTTTTTTTAAAGAATTCTTATTTTTTTTTTAAAAAAGAAATACAAACTAACATGGCCTAGAACTTTCAATAATAAGAATTTTAAAAAATAAATAAATTATAACCTATTAATAATACACAAAGTTATACAATAGGCTCGGAATATTACATGTCATATTTCTTCACCAATCACCATTTATTATATCATCTATTCTTTAATTACTTAACACAAATAATTAATATTTTATCTTTTTCATTAATCATCCTATCATAATAGAACATTACGTGACTATGCTTTGGGACTATCAATAATCACAATAGTAGTTAAGTCACCTCTAAGGAAATTAATGTAAATTTGAATGCAATGGGGAGAGAGTCTCATGGTTGCCTCCCCATCGAAGTACAGTGCCTCGGCCACATTGCAATTGTAAGAAGCATAACTAAACTTCTAATTCTAAGATATAATAAGCTGTGGGAATGCTAAGAAGTTGTAGAAACCAACACATCATAGATGTCGTCGAGACAACGGTGCTGGAGTCGAACGAGAATGCTCAGCTTTATCACTACACATAAACAAACAAACATACACACAAACAGAGATACACGAATGTTGTTAACTACTCCCCATTTGTTGTCCAGTGTCAACGACCGACCCCAGCCCTGCCCGAATCCCGACGCCGCCTCGGAACCCAATACTGTTGTCTCGCCGCCGTCACTGTTTCCAAACCCATCCACCACAGCTTCGGCTCCATCTCCATCTCCATCTCCATAGTTTCAACTCTTCATTTTTTAATTATAATATATTCTTATTTATAAAAAAAGGTTAAATTAATTTAATAATTATTAATTTATTATATATATATATATATATTTTTAAAGTAAATAGTTTAATTTTTAAATAATATTTATTTATTTATTTTAAATAAGTTTTCTATATTAACGTGATTATAGTTATTGGGTCGATTTATTTTTTCACAAATGATCTAAATGTTATAATGTAACAAATAAACAATCCCATTGGTCCAAACTTCCAACAATAATATTGGATATTTAAAAAATAATAAATTATAAACACACCTTTTGAGATTTGAATAAAATATAAATTTTCTCATGTAGTTTTGGAAATTACATCTTGTCTCTTTAAATTTCTAATTTCATAATAAATATATTTTCTATTAATAAATCATCAGGTTAATTAATAGTTTTAATGATGTGAGAAATTTATTTTAATTAATAATTTAGATAGTTTTATTATTGTATAAAAGAGTAGTTAGAAATTATATTTTTTTAGTTTATTCTATTAAAAAATTCTGACAAAGAGATATTTTTAATTTTTTAAATTATAAGAAATAATTTATATTTTAAATAAATCTCATAATATGTAGTTGTAATTTATCCATTTTAAATTTATATCATTCTCTATTTTTAAGATAATTTTTCCTAATAGAAGATATTTCTGTGAGTTAAAAATAAAAAAAAAATAGAATAGAAAAGGAGGGAGAGAGTAAAAAATAAACAAAACAAAACAAAGGATAGTGAATGAGATGGGTGGTTTAGTTTAGGAAAAATGCTTGGGAGTACTAATTAGTGCTCCCACTAATTAGGTGGCAGTGGGTCCCGTCATTAATGATGTGATGTTTTGGTCTTTGAGTTGTATTTTTTTTATTTTTTTTTTACTTTTTTAATGTATTAGTGCTATTAGTGGTGATGTTTTTAGTGGGATGAATCATTGTTGTTAGTTTAGGGACCACCCAGAAAATGAGGAAAATGGACTTTGGCGGCCCAATTGGGCACTCCATCCACGTGGCAGTCTTTTTGGGGTCACATGGGTTCTTGCCACGTGTCATATGTTACCGGTATTGGCGGTTAAGGCACTCTCCCTTGTCCCTGTAGGACCAGAACATTGAGAGAGACAACACCCTATTCATGTCTCGTTTTGAAAAAATTATCTCATAAGTACTATTATATCTTAGGTGGTGTGTCTTTATAATTTTAGTAGCTATATATTCATTATTTTTTATTTTTTCTTAAATATTATATAAACTAATTAATAAAATTAAAAAAGCAAACAGCTTAATTGAATTTTTTTTAAAGACAAGATAATTCCTCTTCTCTTTAACGATCCTCTTTCAAAGAATTGTGTTTTGAGAATTTTATTTTTGGCTATGTACTCATTAAATAGTAAGAGATTATATGAATACATGATCTTATAATTAAAAATTAATGGATAAATTATATATTAATATTATTGAATGAGATATAGACGTGTGGTCTTTTGATCCTACCATATAACTTCTGCTCTCTTTATCTATCCTTGTGAACAACCTAAAAAGGTTTTTTGATTGGGCAATAGTTTAACTGGTCATGATATTTAAGTGTCAAAAATGTGAAATTTTAAATTTGCATCTATGAAGATAGGTCGGCCAATAACATTTTATTTTGTGACTAAAAAAAAATCTAAAAAGGTTTTAGAAAAAGATAAAAGAAAAAAAAGGGTAAATTGAACTATTGATCATTTTAGTGTTAGTGAAATTTCACTTTAGTTCTCATAATTTTAATTTGAACAATGTGAACCTTACACTTTCAATTTGTTATAATGTAATCTATCCATCACTTAGTATTACAATTTTAAACGAAAAAAGATTACGTACAAATTTAAAAGGGCCAAAGTGAAATTCAAAAGAAATTATGAGGACCATCAATGTAACTTATTTATTACACGAGTGACACCTATAGTCTGTTTGGAATTCTACTTTAACCCCTTTAATTTTACACGTGATTTTTTACTATTTGAAATGTTAACCACGCATAACAGAATAATCTCATTACAATAAAATTAAAAATATAATATTTAAATTGTTTAAATTAAAATTACAAAAAATAAAATGACACATCATTTAAATTATATAGGCTAATGATATAATTTATCAAACAAATAAATAAAATAAGGGGGGTAAAAAGCAAGAAATTAATAAGAAGCCACGAGCCATGCATGCGATGCTATGGAGGTCCACACAAAGACAAGCAATAGTGTTCCTCGGGGGAAACAAATGGACACACTCTTTTCTTTCTTGTCTTTCTCGTTTTTTTACTCTCTCATGTGCTTACTCTTATTGTTGTAATTTAAATCGTAGAGAAATCTTTAGTTCGAATGCATCTCTTCCCAAGACATTTTCTCTTCATATTTCAAAATATTTGAAGTGATTTATGTCTATTGAATAGTATTGAAAGTATGTAACGACACTAACAGGATTTGGATGTCACAATTATAAACTTTTTTAAATGATAAATCCAAAAAAGAGAAATTTTCAAAAGTACGAATCACTTTGCTTGGTTCCCATTTTTTAAAAACAGTTTTCAGAAAATTTTACATTCTTATTTTCCGTGTTTTTTTGTTTTTACTTAATGTTTTTAATATTTTATGCAATTTTTTTACTTTTTAGACATACCTAACATAAATACACCTAAAAAGTAAAAAAATTATAAAAAAATCTTTTAAAAATTCACTAAATACCAAAAATACAAAAAAAATACAAGAATTTAGTACATTTTTTGTATTTTTATGTATTTCTTAATTTTTTAAAATATTTTTTCACAATTTTTTTTTTTTACTTTTTAGACACATCTAAGTAAGGTGCATCTAAAAAAGTAAAAAAAAAGTTTAAAATTTTAAAAATATTCACTAAAAATAAAAAAACACGAAAATCAAAAAACTCAGTTTTCAAAAAACTTAATCCAGAAAACTCAAACCAAACACATTGAGCCTCCGTTTGGGAAGTGGGTTGGCTTTTTGGCTTTTTGGCTTTTTTGGCTATTTTAGCCTGGGCTAAAAAGTTTGGTTTGGGAAGGGCTTTTTGGCTTTTTGGCTTTTTTGACTTTTTTTGTGAGAGAAGAATGTAATGATTATGGGGTGAATGTGATATTTTATTTTTTGTGGCTAAAATAGCCTATTTTGTCTTTTGTGGCTAAAATAGCCAAAAAAGCCCCGTTTAGCTCTTGCCTAACGGAGGCTTCATATTCTCAAAAATTAAATGTTACAATCATAAGTTTTTTTAAAATCATACATTACAAAAGGAGAGTTTTGTCGTAGTTGAATTGTTGACACCTGTGTTTGAGGGTGGGATAATATTTATATCATTGACACATTCTCTTAAAAACAAATTTATTCACATTTTTAATGTGTGTGAATAAAATATACTTTATGATTAGTCGAAAATGTTGGTCATTCATTTCAAAAAGTGTATCGATCCTATAGGCGCTATTATTGTTCACTAATCAAAAAATGTGTTTTGTTCACACTTTTTAAAAGTGTGTGAATAAAATTAGTTTCCACTCCATCATATGTAATCAACCTAAGTAGTGAGATTCAAACAGATGATATATACCAAGCATAATACACGGTGAAGTTGGAATACAGAATGTTAAAATCCACCTACTTCACCCACTTAAACCTACTCCACTAAACCTAACCCACTACATCACTACCACCTCACCTTCACCTACTCCTTACCTACTACACACTCACCCTCTTCTATATATAGGAATCATGAATCATTGTAATAGAAATCAACATTATATCAATCAATAATACAATTCTCTATTTCTCTTTATACATTAAATCTCTACACAGAATCTGTTACTAACCATATTGAATTGTTAACTACTAATTCATCTAAAATATGTTGAACAATTTTATAATTCATATTGTACTCTCAATCTCATTTAAAAACTTAATTTATTAGAAGAGAAGTAACTTCATTATTTTATATCATCTCTCTTTTGTACTCCCTCCCTCTCACAATATATGTAGCAGAAGAAGCCTCTAAGTTGCTTCTCTTTCTGCTTCTCTTTCCCCTGGTGGGTCTGTCTGTCCCAAGTGAGAGGAAAGGGACAGAAGATAGGCCACACCCATACTTCATTTTCCCTCCTATTTCTCATTCCCCAAACACTTGCATGTTCTTCAAAACAACCTCTTTAACTACTTCAAAATCTACATTTAATGCCACCCTTCTTTTCTAGCATTACAAATTCCACCAAAATCTCCATTACTACAATCACCAGTATCACCAAACACAAGACAAGTTGATCTGTTTTTGTTGTTGATATCTTCCAAGTTCTAACCATTTTACCAATCACATTCATCTTTTCTTAATATGTCAATCATATCTTCTCTAGTTTTGTTTCTTCTATGTAGTATTTCTTTCCATGCATGTAATGCTAGGCATCTTGCTGCAATTGGTAAGAAGCCTCAGAAAAAATCTATCCTTCCAAACAAGGTTTGTGCAAATTGTTTATCATTTTAACTTCTTCTAGTTCCTAATATCTTTGATTAGATGGAAAGATATGATAGAAAATGAAAGTGATAGATATGAAGTGAAAAAGAAAAAGAAAAAAACAAAAAAGTGAAAACAAATTTTTTTTCTACTATGCATTTGGTTAAGATGAAATTTTGGTAAAAAAATTACAATTAAAATAAATTGATTGAGTATTGATGTGCAAACATAATGCAAGTAGGGAAATTTTATACAGAATGATCTAACTTCATGTGATCTTTTCATTTCAAATCAAAATATTAACTATTTTGACTCATAGTTTCAAAAGGAGGAGGATCCTTTCAGTGTAGATTTTGGACTGGAGGGTGCTATTTAGGTTTATGAGGCTTATCACAGGTTCTATTTCGATAATCTAAACATTTTATTTTGTCGGACATTTTGTGCATTTCATTCATAAAAAAATTAGGTCGATTTGATAACTGCAACTTATTCAATTTATCATATTTTTAACCAAAAAAATTTTTGTTTTTAAAATTAAATTATACAATTTTTTGGATAACAAATGTAATAAATTGAACAAGTTACAGTTAGCGGATCAACCTAAATATTTTTGTGTGCAAATGAAATACATAAATTATAATAGAATGAACGGTTTGAATCATTGAAACGGAATCTATGATGAGCTGCATGGGCTCACACAACACCCTCTCATCCAAAATCTGGACGGGAGAGGATCCTACTCCATTTCGAAAACGTTACTTTTTCACATCATTTTAGATGAGTTTTTTTTTGTTTGTATATCATTTTCAAATAAAATACCTATCACTTTCCTGTTTGTATGTCACTTTTCAATAAAATACCTATCAATAAAATACCTATCACTTTTCTGTTTGTATATATTTTTTATAAGAAATTCAAAGTCATGTTACTATGTTGATAGGTTATATAAGAAATTTAACTTTTTTATTTTTCTGTCATTTCCTCAATGTAATATGTAATTTTCTTGTATTTTTTATTTTTTTTCCCATTTTCATGTTAAACAAACATTGTGTCAAATTTTATTGATTCTCTTAATTTTATGCACTTTCTATGGCTTTTCCATGCCACCACCAATCTCAGCCTAATATTTTTATGAACTATTTAGATCAATTTACTACATACACTTTAAGCCTCCTAACTATTTTCAGGGTTACTAATTACTATGCAGAATGATGAAAACTTGAGTCCTGTCAAGATATCACCGAAGTTCAAGCCAGCCTTGTCAAAAGAACTTGGAGCTACAAATGGAGAGGGCATGGCCAAGCAAAGTAGGGTTTACAAAGATGATCACAAGCCAGTAAGTTCAAACCTCAAAGAACTGCAAGACCAAACAACAGTGAAAATCTCAGGTGCTACACAGATTGATCAGCCTCTTCTTTCTGCTTCTCAGCGGTTGCCGCACCGGAAACCAGGTGAGCATCAACCGGAGTTTAGCTTGGACTATTTGCCACCCATGACATTTCCTCCTGTTCACAATTGAGCATTGGTTCAAATTACGATATCAAAATATGTATCAATATCAGTATCAATATCGGTGATACAATTATATATTGATAAATAAAATACTGCAATTGAGGTTTCTTCTTGCCTCTCTCTTTAATCCTAGAAGATGTATCTACTCATCTCTAACATTTGGGTAGTTCTTGGAAGTAAAAAAATTAGTGCTGGAGAACTAGCATTACATGTACACCCTTAACCTATGACTAAATGTGGGGTTTATGTGCTAATATGCCATGCCTCTCCTTTTCAATGTATAATGTTTTGAAGAGTTTTGATGGTGAAGATATAGTTCTATCCTTCACCAAATGATTCTTATCATCATCATCCAAAATTATACACAGTTTATGAGACAAAAATAATTTAAATAAAATGAAAAAGATTGATTATTGAGAAGCAGGAGAATAAATATTTTAACTTTTACTTTCTTATTATCAAAACTTAAGCTTTTAAATGAGTTGGTGATTTTATTATTTGTATTTTCAATGTATCCCTTTACGTGTTGTCAAACTTTTCTTTATAAGTGAGCTAAACATGTATAAGTATTTTAATTATCAAGTAGGCAATGAGATTCGAATATAGAATCTATCGTCTACTCTTTTTGATCAACCAAAAGAGAACTTTATTGATGAGAAAAATCGTACAAAAATATAGATTACACCAATAAAAAAGAAGCAGATGCTCAAAGCATCACAACAAGTCACAACAATCCCAATTAAGTTGGTACTGCAAGGCTCACCAAATCATTTGCTGAGCACCACGCCCACTGCTAGTGAGGAACCAACAGAGAACAAGGCCAAACAACAATACAATATAGCAGGAAAAACAAAGCAGCTGAGCTACACAAAGTGAAGCTTACAAGAAAAATCTGACTTCCTTAATATTCGAGACCAAATCATGAACTGAGCACTGTATACCTTTCAGGTTTGATTTACTCCACATAGCCACCCTTACCTTGACCAGCTCTTTAATCTCAACAAAATTTGGTTGCTTCCCACTAAACACACACTCATTCCTTGCCTTCCAGATGGGCCACAACATGGCGAAAGGTAATGTCTTCCAAATTTGTAGTTCCAGCTTTTTGAACTAGGCACCGATCCACCATTGCATCAGACCCTCCACATCTGCAGGTGTTACCCAACTGATCCCCCACCAATCCATCCGATCAGACCACTTTCCACACTTCTGGCCAAAGCAAGAGCATATGTGAACCTGTTTCAGCCTCAATTTTGAATTATTAATCACCAATTCATCTAAAAGATTAAATTGTTAAAAAGAACTAACTTTATTAGTTATATTCTCAATAATAGTTAACAATTCAATATGATATAACAAAAATCCTTGGTTTGAACCTTAGTCTAACCATATATAAAGAGCCTGTTAAAGATAAAAGATAAAAAATTCATCTATTTTTCTACAGTTTAAATTTTTAGATAAATAAGTGGCTGACAATTCAGCACACATGCACTTTGCATAGTTTTCTGATTGACAACTTATTATGCATACCATATTATAGGGTGCTAATAGAATAGATTGGTGCATGTCCAAGTAATTTGGTGATGGTATAAGCATATGAAGTCATGCATTCAAAAGGAAAAAGGGTATAAATTTTTAAGTCACATAGTTATTATGAAATTTATTAATTATTCTGAAAGAAGGAAAATGCAGAAGATATATGTCGATAATATGGGTGGGCATACTTTTGAAATGTGGTTGTTGAATCATCATAAATGATGGAGGTAGTTATCAGTTAGTCTATATACTTCCAGTTGAAAATTACACTGCCACAACCCACATGGTTTTTTGGAATTTCGGTTTCAAGCAATTACTTTCTCCTCCTTTTTTTTCTTAATAATTGAGAGGGAGGAGCAGACTGAGGATCTTCTGTCCAAAAACTTTGCATCCCTTTAGTCTAATTCATTTACATTTGTTTAATTATGTCTCAAGATTTTCTTCTCTCAAAATTCTCACGTGACCAACAAGTATAGCTAAATTAGAATAAAAAGATCAACAATGATTCATCCCCCCTTTTCCTCTCACCCCCTTTGACCCCCTCTCTCTCTCATTGGTTACATTTTTTTTTTTTTTCCTACTCCTCCAATCACCACCCGCCACGTGGCAAGGGGGTGAGGGAGTGACCCCCAAAAGGGGGTCCCAAGCATTATTCTAAAAAGATAAAGAACTTATACGATAGAGGATCTCTATCCAAAATGGACTTCAAAAATTTATGAAACAGACGCACACAAAAAATAAAACATAAAAGGCCAAATTACAAATACAGCCCTTGAGATTTACTTAAAATATAGATTGCCCTCTGTGATTTACAAAATTACAAATATCCCCTTGTCAGAAATTTTTTATTTAATAGAATTAAGTAAAAAAATGAAATTAATAATTGCTCTCATATACAACAAAAATTACTTAAATTATTAATTGAAACATATTTCTAACATCATTAAAATCTGTTAATTGATTTGATGATTTATTAATAAAAGGGTAATTTGTTATAAAATTAGAAACCTCAGGAGGTGGAATGTAATTTCCAGAACTACAGGGGCAATTTGTATTTTAATCAAATCTCAGGGGATGTATTTGTAATTTACCCAAAATAAAAACCAAGAAAATCAAAAGTTCAAACTAAGAATTTACTTATGCATGTTTTGGTTAAAAATATATATATATAAAAAAAAGAAAATAATTGATTTTTTTATAATGTGGCTGTTTGAATTTTAGACTATTTTAACATGTTGCTAAAATAGGCCTTGGAATCTTGATGAATTGTCCATATTCAATTTTGTTGAATGGTGAGCCCCACCTCTATAATAAATGCCCATCACATATTGTATTTTTTGGACAAATTCCAAATAAAATATTTGGGCTTTTAGAAGTCCTCAAAAAAAAAAAAAAAAAAAAGGGTTAATTTTCTTTGTGAACTTTTTTTTGTTTGTGTTGATGTAAATTTTTTTTAAAATTAAGTTGTTAGGAAATATACTCAACAATATATATGAAGTTAATACTATGCTGTCTCATGTGCAACCCGCTATCACACATGAAAAGAGAACAAGATTGAGACATGAGTCAAGCTATGATACCATGATAATTAGAATATTTGAGGTATTCAACACAACACCAATTAATCATAACGGAAGAGATTTCTATATTACGAACCACGCTTAAGTTACTTAAAAAGACAATATGAATAAATCTCTAACATTTTACGCACAATGACCCCGTCGCATGTGACCCTCATAAAGATATGAGAAATGAGAATGGATGGAGACTTCAGCCTTGAGACCACTTTATTTATTTATTTTTATACGATAATATGTTAGCAGGTTAGTAAATTAGATTACAACGAAATGGTCACAATCGCTCCATCGACTTGAATACTGAACCTTTGACATTCACTATCTCAAAACATAGTTATGTGAATCACTAGACTAAAGTTAACTATGATGCTATGTTAATTAAGTCACCAATTATCTTAAAAATTTAAACTGCCAAAAAATAAATCTAACAGTGTATACCAAACTCCACCAGATCAGGTTAGTCCATGATCTTGTGTCTAACCTCCACCAGATCAGGTTACATGTATGAAGTCTCCTTCAGCTAAGGTTCTGGAAGCAGAGTGTTCAGGTTGTAAATTCAGGTGCCGACACAGAGTTGTTTTGTGGTTTGATCTGAGGGCCTTTGTTCTCTTTCTGCAGTTTTGCTCAGTTTTTGGTTTGAGCTTGCTCAGTTATTGGCTTGATCTATTTATTTTGAGCCCAAACTTTAGTGGCTCCTCAACAACTTTAGCCTCTGCTGTTTGGGCTGCTTCTCTCAGTCTAGTGTTTCCTCAGAGTTGTTTTGCTGATAGACCTGAGTGCTGATTGATCACAGTGCTGTTTCTGCTGTTCTCAGATTTTGGTGCTGATGGGTTGGAGCTTGCTCAGATTTTGGAGTATATTGCCACTCAGTTGGTGCTGTTTTGATGCTCAGTTTTTTGTGTGCTCATCTTCTCAGTTGTTCTGTTGTTTTTTTCCTTGTTTTTTCCTTTGTTTTGCCTTGTTTGTTGGTTTCTCACCAACTAGGAGGTTAGAGCTTCTTCTAGCTCCAAGTTCCTCTTTATTGATGTAATTCGGTTGTTTTCATCAATAAAGTTTTCTTTGCCGATAAAAAAAAAAATGTATATCAAACTAATAATCTTATTTCTTTCTAGTGGGTTCTACCAATCCCACTCTTGGATGTGCATGCTTGTACTTCAAATTTTTCCAAACTATTATAGTTTAATACATTGATAAGATGAATGTTGGATTCACTAGAGTGGACACTATAAAGCATAATCAGGAACAGAGGGTGCAACCATTTCAAGGGTGTTTTTCCTAAAATTATACACAAGTAATAAGTCAATTAAAATTTTAAATTCTTCTAAACATTAATAAATAAGCAAAAAGAAAATATTTTTTCATAATTAAAATAAAAGAAAATTAAAATACAAAAAAAAAATGCATAGAAATCATGTTTGACTCATATTTATTCTAAAATATGATTCTCACCAATGAATTTTGATCACATTAAATTTTTTGTATAATTTCTTGCGAATTATTTTTGTGCACGTAATATTTGTTATAAGAAACAATAAGAAGTCAATAGATATAAAACCAACCACAAAAAATTTATCGTGGCCTATTTGCTCAGATTGTTGCATTTGTATTTTCTGTGATTGGTTTGTTTAAATAAACATATAGGTGAGATTTGGTAACTGTATTTTTAGTATGTTTTTATTTTTATTTTTTAGAATCTAAAAAATCTCATATATTTGATAATTGCTAAAAAAAAGTTATATTTTTGGTTATAGAGAAAGTTTTATAATGTTATGGAGCCTTGTTAATATAATCAAAGGGTTACAATGAAATTTATCAAAAATGTGAAGGGTAAAATTGTGTTTAACATTCACAAAAGAATTTTTTCATTTTATTTTTTAAAGAAGTTGTTCCTTTAGCCAAACTAAACATACATTTACTTTTATTTTATTTTTATTTTTTTGGCCAAAAAATTATTATTTAATAATTGTCAAAAGAATTTGGTATTTCCCAATGGAATTATAGTGGTCAACTTGCTCACTGCCTAATTTCCACCAGACAACTTTGTTAGATATTCTCTTCCCTAATTTATGTTTTTAAGGCACTAAAGTACAAATACAGCTCACACAACACAAGTGGGTTAGCAGAAAGTGTTCTGTTAAATTATAATCCCTAGCTTCATAAAGATTGATCTCTCAACCTTTAGAGACCAAAACAAACCAGGTT